TTTTGACGTCGCTTTTTCGAGCTGATTTCAACGCAAATAAAATTATTTTTCAATCCTTATTTTGGTAATTACAGGGTTCATACAGAAATCAGAAAAAGAAATCCAAGGAGTCCAAAATTTTAAGGACTAATTTTAATTCAAAAACTTTGTGTGAAAGATAACTATACAGTTTTTTTTTTTAATTAAAAAGCAGTTATTATAAAGAACTTGACAAAAATTTATATTTTGCATAAGATATTTATTTTTAGCCCTTTTGAAATAAATTTTGACTTTGTCAAACTTCATCAAGAAAAATAAAGTTATAATTTCACACATAAATATATTTTCCAGCTTCAAATATTTTAATAAATCTTGTTGGAGTGCATAGTACAGATGTTAAAGATTAACATAAAAACCTTCCAATCTTATATTTTTAAATTTGAATACATAAGAAAATCTAAGGCATTTTGCACAACAACAACAAAAAAGTCATTTATTAATTAAGTTTGCTTGTTACATGCAAAATTAAAATTATTTGCTGTTATTTTTTTCCTTCTAACTCTTGCAATTCAATTTCTTTTAAAAAAGTTTTTCTTAAACTATTATATTTTGACAGCTAAGTTACATCATTTAGTTTCCCTGCTTAAACAGCAGATTCATCAGCGAACTTAGAAAGTTCATTCATGCGACGCAATAATCTAAGGACTAATTTAAAATCTAAGTAGTTCCAAGTACTCCTTGGAGACTTTTTTATTTACAAGGAGTTTCTAAGGAGTATAAGGAGTCTGTACGCACCCTGTAATTATTGCTCCTGATTTCTACTAGGTTTGGAAAGTCCCGATATTTTTGACATGTTATTTCGAATCCCGCATTTAAATACATAACTTTTTGACGCGCTTTATTTATGCCGATTTCATCGTAAATATAAAGGGACTTTGATAGTTTCTTTGGCAGTTATTACTACGCTTTTCCTCGTGATTTAAAAAAATTCTGATATTTTTAATACTATAGTTCAACAGCACGCGAGTTATGAATCGCGCATTAAAATAATTACTTTCTACGTGCTTCATTTGTGCCGATTTTAACATAAATATAAGAGGTTTTTTGAACGTGTTTTTTTCCTTTCTTGTTATTGCTGCATTTTTACTTGTGATATTGAATATCCTGATATTTTAACACAATATTACAGCTCGAGAAATTCAATTGTTAATTTTTTTTGTAACTTGAAAAGAATTACATATCTCAGCAAAATCAGCACCTTCCTGAAGAGTATAAAATGAAACAAGTAAAAAAACAAGATGTGTAAATTTATAACGAACCCTTTTGCAAAAAAATTATTCAAAACACGTGACTATTACTTTAGTTCCATGAACATGTGCAAATTTATTAACACACACCCAACCTATTCTTTTTGTTGTCACATGATTTAAAAATCACATATCGCGATTCGTATTTACGCTCATTAAAAATCTTACGTTTTGATTCTTCCTGCAATTTAAAAGTCACACATCGTAATTCGTATTTACACGATTTTAAAATTGCACATCACATTTCGAAATAACATTAACGAGATTTAAAAATCATCCATCGCGATTCGTATTTACAAGACTTAAAACCACATATCACAATTCCAGTTCTGGCGTTTAAAAAATCATACATTGTTACTCTTCTCGCAATTCGAAAATCACACACCGCGATTCATATTAAAGCAATTTAGAAACCACAAATCGCGATTCATATTCACACGTTTTAAAAATCATACGTTGTGAGTTTTCTTCTAGAAATTTAAAAACCACACATCTCGATTCCTATTCACGCAATTTGAAAACCACGCATTGAGTTTTTTTTTATTTTCGTCATTTACAAACCATACAGAGCAATTCGTATTCAAGCAATTTAAAAATATCACATCGCTATTTGTATTCACGCGATTTAAAAATCGCGTAAGAATTAGGAAAGGAAGAACACCATCCGGGATAAATTCCTAAACTAATTAAGTTATTTGCCCCAAGTTTAATACTACCCACAATAGCTTCTATCAAAAGACTGTTTTCCAGAAAGAATTTGGCATGTTCAAAATTACAAAACATTCTTTAAACAAAACCGTTACATTTTCATTTAATGGCTTGAAAAAGCTATGACATGATAAGTAGATCAAATTATCAAAATATTTAAAAATTTTGCAAATTGCAGGATAACCATTAAGAAATTTTTTAAACCTTTTATTACCTACTTAGACCATTTTATATCATTTATGATCGTATTTGCTGGGAAATGATTTGTATAGCATTAAATTTTAACTGCAATAAAATGTAATCAAGATAAGTTTAGTAAAGTACTGTAAATTTTAATTAATTTTTTATCTATAAATGCATTAATTGTAAATAGTGTCATGTTAAAAAGTATTGGTCATAAAGAGTTGTAAACAAGTATCTTTTAATAGTTTTTTAATTATTAAGGAAAATAGTTCCATCAAAATTAATGTTTTCTTTCTTTTTCTTCTTATTCTCAGTCCCTGCCTCTTACAATTAATTTAAAATAAACGTTTTAAAGTTGAGGCATACTAAAGTTAAAGTATGCCTCAACTTTTATACTTTAATGCCTCAACTTTCAACTTTGATCAATATGCTGTACATGTGGCCCTTCACTCAAAAAGGTTGTGCACCCCATTTTATAGCAATTTTCTCTCTAAAATTATCGCAATGTGAAAAAGTTAAATTGTGATTTTCAGCATTAGATTTTCATTCTAAAAATTAAGAACGCTTCTGTTAGACTTCATTCTTTTTTCTTCACTTTTTCTTGAAAATACGGTATTTGGAAAACTGAGATGTTCAGTTGTAAATTTTCTTTTGAGAATTAAGATCGATTTTTAATTTTTCTATTTTGCTTTAGTACATAATCTTTAGTTTTGTACATAATTTTTAGTTTTAATGATAGGGCAGCATTTTCAAAAGCGTTTCTGATAGAATACATTTTTTAACGTCGCTTTGTGGACACATTTTTCTAGAAAATATTACTTTCAGCATATAAATTTTGGTTTAAACGTTGCTATGCTGCTAAAAAATATTACTTGGCTTCGAAAAATGGTATTTGGTTATTCGACTAGATCACAATTTATTACCACATTCAACCAAATCACATTCAAAGCCGAAAAAAGTGATGGAAAAATAACTAAATAATAAGGATTTACAATGAAACTGTGGCAAAATAAATTGCACAAAAAAAAATGATTATTTAAATACGCAATTAGAAATTCAGGCCCCTGAATAGCATTGCAGTTAAAATAACAGGATCCCTAAAATCAGAGGGAAAATTTAAAATTTGCAGTCCATAACATATTACTAAGCATATACATGATACATAATTCTAAAAGCTCATAACTGAACATTCATAACTTAAGCATGGACAGTTCATAACTTAAGCCATTTCTTCCAATACATACATGATGTCTATTTCCTTAGAATTTTCTTTTCTTGAATGATACAGAATCTGTTCATTGATCTGACTAAGACTCTTACCATATGAATAAGTTATTAGTGTTATTTACTCATTTTCTTTTATCTTATGATCTTCTTCACAGTTTGAATTAGAAGCTCTGGAATAATTTTTTGGTTCTCTTTACTAAATTTTCTTCTCTACAATATATTTTTGATATCATTGTTACCTATAAAATTTTTTAAACCTATATGATTTTATATTGAAATTCAAAATGAAGTAACTTGTTATTATTATTTTTTTTTATCAACGGTGCTCTTGGTTCTAATCTATGAAGTAGTAGCTTTACTTGGTGATACAATCGACAAATAATCAATATTTGAACTTCGCTGATAATTTGTATATTTGTAGGAGTTTTGTTCTTAATATGTCAATTATAATTAGATAAATTTGGTGTGGTACTAGAATTATTTACGAAAACTTACTTGGCCGTAAAAACACGCTTCATTTATTCACATTTCGACTATTACTCAATCTTCATGTCAAAGCATATTTTTCAATCTTAAAGGATTATAAATTATAGACTATGTTGGCGCATTTAATCGATACAAAGTAAAAGGTGTAAAACATTTTCTGCAAAAATATCCATAATTCTGGAGTTTAACTAAAAAAGCCAACATCTTGCGGTTGAAATCATTTCAAAGCTGAAGTTACAATCTTATAAGACTAGTGAATGTCTATTGGATTTCATACTTTTATGCAGAAGTGCATTAGTCAACTGAGAAAGGGGGAGACAAAGTATTGCCATAAACTGTTAAATACAATTCTCAAGACTGCAATACTACCTTATTGTACGAAAAACAAGACAATTAGTATTGACATAATTAACTTAGTAAGGAGTGATTTTGATAATAAAATGATCATGGAGAACATATCAATTAAAATTCAAATATTTTAATTCTCATGCAGATTAACCAAACTTTAGTTGAATAACTTAGTTAATGTTTATTTTGGGTTGTTTTTTATTTTGAAATTATGTATTTTAATATAGTTTTATTATGTTTGCTGTTACTCATAAAAATTATGTTTGTTGTTACTCATAAAATGAATTATTTAATGTATAGATATTTCATGTTTAACTGCATATTATTTATTTTTATCACCAACTTTTTCTGCCTCAATGTGGTTTATAAACTAATAATTTTTCTTATCCCATGAAAATGAGGGGTATGGATTACAGACTGCTACATCTGAGACAAAAATTATGGTATAATGCATAAAAAGGAAAATATTTTATTCAATGATTTATTCCTCAATTTGAGAACACTCTTTAATCTTTTAACTAGTTTTTTTGTTATTTAACAATGAGGAAGCCTGAACATTTAATGCCCATAAAAGCTCTCCCTCTCTTGGAGGAAATTATCCCTTTTTCAAATGTTTAAACAAATTAGGAAAAGGAGCAAACAGTTAAAGAATTGAAGCATTCATTCATCATTCCTGAATTATATATATATATATATATATATACATAAATTTAAGAATTCAGAATTGCGTTATTTTCAAGCAAATAAATAAAAAATATTCACCAGAGGAATCATGTTCATTATATTCATAAACATTCTTCCATACTTCATCTATTTCTTTCCATATTATAACTTTTCTATCATAAGAACAAGATGCTAGAACAGGACCAAACAGAGGATGAGACCAAGCAACTTGCCACACTGGACCTTCATGACTGATAAAAATAAGAGGTTTTTTTTCTTAGTATTATAACATAATACAATAGACATAATGAAAAATTACAAATGAATAACAATAACTACAAAGGTTTGCAAAAATGACCAATACATTTTTTTTTAAATTCTCGTAATGATTGTTCTTTAAAAAAAAGAATTAATAATAGGGATGTAACGAAGATTTGGCCACTATTCGGTATTCTCCCCTTATGCCAAACATTTGGTAAGAGCAAAGTATTTTTCAACAAAGTTTTTTTTCTTCCTGAATTTTGATAAATTTAATAAAGATTACTCCAAAATAATATTTTTCACTATACATAATTAGAAATAGTTTTTACTGATATTTTCTAAGCTCTAAAACCAGCGGACTTATGTTCTGAAAGACAAATGGAAATTTTTTTTTCTGGCTTTTTTTATTATTAATTTTTCTTTTAACTTTTATTATGACAGGGTATTTCTTAAAGAGTGTTTCTAAAAGAAGTTATTCCCTTACAATCACTTTTTTAAAAAATATGGCAACTTGAAAAAGTTAAATTGAGATAACGTTATCGTAAAATTTTTAGCTTAAAAATTAAGAACGATTTTTGTTTTGGTCGCTATCTAGCTTTTTTCTCTAAAAAAAAAAGAACAGTTGTTTTATCAACCTTTTTTATTATGACGTGGCAATTAAGAAGGTTTCTATCAGGTATTATTCTTTTTCTTGAAAATATGGTGATTGGAAGATTTAGATGTTCAGCTTTAAAATTTTCTTTCAATTGAGATAAATTTTTATTTTTTCTGCTTTGCTTTTGGATATAATAAAATTTTTTGTTTTCACTATAGCGTGGACATTTTTAAAAGCATTTCAGATTGACTATTTCTTTTAATGTTTTCAGGGATAGTTTTTTTGTGAAAAATATTTTAGCATTAAAGTTTTAAGAATTAAGGATTTTTTTTCCTATTTCCCCTTTTTCCAATTTTACAACTTCAGTTTACATATATTTCATTTCATGTTTTATTCTGTTTTTTCTTTATATTTCTATATATGGGCTGCAGGTGGCGTAGCGCAGAACTCTCTACCTATAGCAACACTTTGCATGCTTTTCCCATTAGAGTGTGGAGAGTCATAGAGGAAGGAAGTACGTTAGTTTCTCTCTTGATTTTCATATAGATTAAAATCTTTGAAGTTGGAAAACTATATGGAACTGAAAACTACATTAAACATAGTTCTAAAGAAAAGTACCACGGAAATTTTAAAAAACATTTTTTTAAATAAAAAGGAAAAATATGAAGAAAAAGAAAAATATCGTAGTACATATACAACTGAATAGAGGAGGAGAGGGAAGGGAGAAGGGCCAAAGACATAAAACCAGTATCTCCCCAGATGGCGTATTTGAGCGTTGCGATCGCCAATTGTATTGATATATTTTGCTTTGGCTATATTGATACATTAGAAAGCACTCCTTTTTGCAGATATAATCGTGTGAGCTGATGAAAAGATTATATCTTTTGTTTTCTGGATTTTTATAGTTTTCTTTTTTTTAGAATTTTTTTTCCGGTTTCATGTTATTTTTATTATTATTTTTCTTTTTTCCCCTTTTTTCATTGTTCTGTAATTTTTTCCTTGTTTTGAACTTATTTTATGAGTTCTATTTACTTGCAGCTTACTTTTTAATGTTTTTACTNAAAAGAAAAAATGAAGAAAATTAAGAAAAACAATAAGTTTCATTTATTGCGCATAAGCTGCAAGTAAATAGAACTCATAAAATAAGTTCAAAAAGGTAAAACAAAGGAAAATTACAGACTAATGAAAAAAGGGGGGAAAAGAAAATTAATAATAAAAACAAAAAAATGGAGAGAAAAAAAATCCGAACAAAAAAGAGGATAGAATTCTTTTAAAAAATCCGGAAAATAAAAGATATAATCTTTTTATCAGCCCACACATCTTTTTGCGGATATAATCAAGTGGGCTGATGGAAAAGATTATATCTTTTATTTTCCAGATTTTATAAAAGAATTCTATCCTTTTTTTCGGATTTTTTTCCTCCAGTTTTTGTTATTTTTATTATTAATTTTCTTTCCCCCCCTTTTTTATAGTCTGTAATTTTCCTTTGTTTTATTTTCATTTTATGTATATATAAATAGTTGTGAGCCAGTTTTTCATTAATCTTAAATATTTCGAATGAATAACTATCATAGGTTTCTTCGCTTTATCCCATACCAATAATATAGCAAAGTTTTGTTTAATTTTCAATGAGGACTAAACTTATTTGAATAAAAAAATATTATTTATTAATGATTTTTTTACATACCATAATAATTTTGATTGAATTATCAGATTTTCACACACTAAGTTGTGACCTAGGTATGCCAGTTTAAATAAAAGTTTAGACCCCTTAATGTTACTTTTCCATTGTTCACTAAAATGGTGAAACTAATAGCACAAAAAAAAAGGGAATGCTTGGATACATTTATAAGGCACAGTAACTAAAAGACTATTTTAATGCAAAAAATATTTAACTATTTTCTAACTTTCCAATTAAGAATGGCCATTGATTTTTTAAAAAAATTGATAAAGCTAAAGAACGGCTGGTCCAATGATCATGCTTTCAACTGTATCAAATAGTTTTTGGACAAAACAGTTTAGCCCACATATACCTCATAGTATAAGGTCTCAAAATATGGAATAAAAAGAAAATGCAATATTTTGAAATTTCTAGGCTAGAACTTCCCTCAATCTAAATCATTTCTGAGTGTCGTGTCAACTCATTGCTGGACAATTTAACATGCACAATTCGTCCGGGTGACAGTTTGTCGCAAGCACAATTTGTCACGGGTACATCTCCTTGCGAATACAATTCATCACAGGCACATAATCATTGTGAGCACTTTTCGCCAGAGTGACAATTTGTCGTGAGCATAATTTCTTGTGGTTTTGATGAAATACATTTATTAATGTAGGCAAAACTCTTGCAATGTCTACAAAAGTAAACTAAATATTTAATTTGTGGCCATTTAAAAATTATGAATGCTCCTAAGAGGGAAGAATTTTGTAATTCAACTACTGTTTTTACAAGAAGGAGGAGGCGTATGCTTGCGTAAGACACTAAAATAAAGATGACTGTTGTGGCTAGTCCTTAGCACATAGCATAAAAAGATATATAGTGATTTCGTAAAAAAGATATATAGTGATTGTAAAATATATTTTTAACTAGTTTGTATAACTAGTAATATTTCTTTAACTTCGTTTAAAAGCAATATTTGACTTGAAACATTTTGACTTCCAAGAAAAATAAATATTTTCTTTATTCAAATCTTTTTTTTAAAAATTTCAGAAAAATATTTCACTTATTACCAATGATGTTGAAATTTTTACCACATTCAAATTTAACTTTTTCATCATTTTTGGGCAGACTGTTTGTTAAGTTCTAAACACTTTTTGTTCTTTTTCAAAATTTTATGCAACGTTTACTATCATTAGTAAGTAAACTATTTTGTAACATTCATTACAATACATAAATCTAGTGGTCGCAGTGCCATATGAAAACTAAAATAGTGGTAAAAGAATTATGATCATTTTCACCAATTCTTGGATGAAATGAGAAATTTTAACTACCACAGCATGCTAACAATAGGTAAAAATATCTAGTTCTAAAACTGAAAATGGTTTTAACTTAAACTTCAATATCTAAAATGGACATCTTCCCTTCTTAGCAAAATGAGACAAAATTACAAACCCCTATCCGTGCATACATAAGAAATTTCCATACCCTCTTCTGGTGTTTTCCTTTTATTACAGTAATATAATTTCAGAAATAAATTTAAATATATAAAAAACTTTGTATAAAACTAAAATTATGTCTTAATTTATTTTGTAAAATTCTGAGTAGACTATTCTTGAGGAAGTTTCTGTATTTTCCTTCAGTGGTTAAAAGTTTTGACCTCTAAAACTTATTAAAAAAAATTTCCAGTTTTTCTCTACCCAAATTTACAAGCATAAAACATTTAAAGTTCAAATATTTTTCTTAATTTTTTTCACACTTTTTGCATTAAAGAAAAATTTAAAATAACATGATTTTAGAGTTACATGCAAGCATTGTTCATACCTCTCCACCCTTTTGTAAGTGAGAACAAGCTAATCACAAACCCTTTCTCTCTTAGATGCTTTCATAACATTTAAAAAGTCACAAATTAAATATTTAGTTAGCTTTTGTAAACAACGCAAGAGTATTAACTTTGTAAATAGATAGCCCAGTAAAATTAAGTTTATTCTTCTGAAAGATTAATGCATAAGATATTTTTACATAGCTTTGCTGTGTTCTCATAAAGTATGTCTGAAAACTCTCCAACTCTTCTCTGTACGGTTCCCCATTTTTTCAGGGAAATGAGGATTTGGAGAGGGGGGGGGGCAGAGTTGAATTTCCTTTATAAAGGCAAGTGAGGCTTTGTTTCTGAAGTATTTTTTAGACTTAATTGACTGAAACCAATCTTGTGACCATGTGCTGATCAGTTTAGATTTTTCAAGGGTTTTAGGTAGAAAAAGTACGAATTTGTATTAGCACATATTTATGCAACTAACATTGCTATTTAAACATACAAGACATTGTTTCTTATGTATTTCTCAGGGTATCTGCTATATTTTAGATTTTCAAATTCATGACTTTTCATGATTTTCCATGACTAATTCCAAGAATTTTTCATGACTTAACGAAGTTATTATTTTCTCCGACAAAAGCGCAACAATAAATTTAAAAAAAGCATTATAATAACATTAATTGAAATGATAGGTATAACCAAAACTGTTATACTCTGCATCTTCATATTTATAGATTTTAAATTTAAAAAACAGAGTAAAGAAAGAGTAGAAACAATAAAATAGCTGAAAAAAATACAAAAACAAATAATTTTCTTTCCTTTTTTTCTGCAGAATTATATTCCAAAGATACTTTTCTTGTTCATCAGAAAGGAAAGAAATACTCCTGATTTTTCTGTTCTCATTTTGGAATAAAAAAAATTTGCCAATGCTTCAATTCATGTGCTTCAACTAGAATTTTAAATTGATAAAATTAAAAAAGAAAAATAATAAAAATTCTTAGATCACAGAAGTTCAAAAGATAATTCGCTCTAGAAATGATGTTTTTTTTTTCATTTTTTGAAAGAACACCATAATTTTTAAAGAACATGATAAAATTATTTTATATTCTAATAAAATATGACTAAGTGTTGATTTTGCTAGGAATTCAGATATTTGGAACAGGATGAAATTGGGGGGAGGNTGGGGGGGGGGGGATTCATTTTAAAAATTAGATTTTTCGGAGACCTAAATCCATGACTTTCCATGATTTATTTAAAAAAAATAGTAAAAATCATGACATTTCATGGCAAGTTTTGTTCAATACTGAAATTCATGACTTTCCATGACTATCTAGGTGCGCAGATACCCTGCATGTTGAACCAAATGAAATATGTCCCGTATGATATGAAATATGAACAAGTTACTAGAATATATAGTTTAAAATTTAAATGTGTTTTTTTGAATAAAAAGTACTTCTTTTGACATACATTTATGTATGCTTTTTACATTGCTATGTAGAATCTATCTGAACATGCAAGGTAAATTTTTTGCTGTAATTTTTTTATGCAGAATTGCACACTTCGATGAAATGAAAAACTTTCTGATAACACAAAATTTCAATTAAAAAACTTCCTGCAAGCAATTTATTTACTCTTATACCTAGTATTGACAAAATTTGTTAGAAAATCACTATTTTTTAAAAACTATATTGATTATTGTACCTCCCAGCATATATTTGTTTAAATTTAGCAGTTTTTTGACGAAATAAAGCCAGTCCACTTACCTTGATTTATCCCATACATGGCTTTCTTTGTATATCTAACATCTAAGTCATTCAGAAACATTTTCATGCATACATTTAATAAATATTTTTATAAGAATCAATGTCCATTCAATTTTCGGTGCCTGAAAGTTAAATACAGTTTCGAATATTTTTTAAGACAAATAATTAAGAAGTTATAAGGATATTCAGTACAAAAGTACAATTTTGTACTAGCACTTATATATGCATCTCATATTGCTAAGCTGACAAGTGAGATATTGTTTCCTATGGATTATTTTTCGCTTAATCGAATGAAAACAAACACAAATCAGAAGAACTAATATTTCAAAAGTTGCAATGGTTATTTTTATAAAAAGTACTATTTTTGGAATTGTATCAAATTATGAAGAAATTTCTATGAATTTCGAAGTTATTTATCCTATAAACTTAAATTTTATCTCATTCAATACAGTATGAAAAACTACAGCAAAAAATTTACCTTACATGCTTAAATAGCATTTAGAAAGCAATGAAAATATGCACATATGTACACGTTAATATAAGGACTTTTTATACAAAAAGCACTTTTAAACTATTCATTCTGTTGACTCTTGTATAGTCTCATTTAATTCAACATAAAAAACTATAGAGGTAACAAACAATGCCTCACTTCTTTAGATAGTAATGGCAGATGCATAAATAGGAATAATGATTCACTTTCTTCTTCGGAAGAAATTCAACCTCCCCCATTTCCCTCAACAAAGAAAAAAAAAGGGAGAAGTGTATTGAGGAAAGTGGGAGTTTTCTGGTATCATTCATAATGACAAAAAGCTTTCTGCCGGAAAAAAAATATATTTGGAATTAATCTTTCTGAAGATACACCCATTCTATTGCTATAATTAGTGGACTGAGATGTATTTAATCGAAACCATAAGAAATTGTGCCTATAAACGAATGTGCCTAAGACAAATTGTCTTTGTGACAAGTTGCTCTCAAAATGAATTGTTTTTTAATGTTATTTTTACTTGAATATCTGTGTTGCTATTTGTTCACATAAAATGAAATGAAAATAAAAAAAAGAGAGAGAAAAGAAATACATGTCTTGATTCTTGAAAGAGAATGTTCAACTTATGGTCTGCTTATTTTTTTCTATCATTATATTTTATCAGAGAAATTTATTTTATCATACCAAATACTTTTTTTCTTCTCCAATGCCCACCCGATAGACACATGTCATTCAGGTATCAGAAGGGCAGATTCGTTGGCCACTCTTTCAGCAGCACGATATTAGGTGAGACATTAAAGGTCCCACAGTAAGGACAGACAGTACAGAGAATGAAAGAACATTCATGCCTTGTCCAGGATTCAAAACTAGGACCTTTCTGATGTGACGTCAGCTCCCTGACTACTACACAGTCCGGTCAGCTCATACTAAATATTGTTATAGTTAATTATTGTTTATTTATTATATTTTATTAAATAATGAATGTTCTCTTTGTTTACCCTAAAGGCCTATTTTCTGCAAAAATTTATTTTCAAGACTTGCATAAGTCCTGAGACTTTCTACTGAAGTATGTACAATGTCTAATGCAAACTATGGTTTGTAAGGTTAAGAAATGTTATTTTTAAAGAGCCTGCAATTATGAGCAGAACATCTTCAGGCAAGTCTCATTCAATTATTGTCTCTGTTTGAGTTTATGAAAAAATTTGGGAGATTACAGTTTCCAACCAAGCATAATGGGAACCTAGAAACACCTTTCAGTTGGTCTCAATGGCCATTACGGCAGCAAGTGCAAATACATCTGTTATAGTCAAAAACAACTTTAAAATTTTCAGTTAAATTTAAAGGTTGTAAGAAACTCTAAATATGAATAATTGATTAAAAAAATTTTATACCTCAAGTTAAATCTTACCCTTTCAATGTTGTAACAAGGTTGTAAAGACCATTTCGCACATTGAAAATTTTTACATTTTTGTCTGAAGAACAGGTAGCAAGGCGAAGACCATTATAATCCATTTGAGCATCATGCTAGGATTAAAAATAATATTGTATTAGTTGTAAAGATTTATGGGAATCTATATCTTTTAAAATTATAACAATAAAAGTTTTTCACTTACAATCATATCAGAATGACCAGTATCTACATCTTGTTCTAATGATACCTACAACAATAGTAATTATATTAGATATAGCTAATCAGAGTGCCCAGAAGTTTTCTAATATATCCCAAATGGCAATTAAGAAAATACCCATGTTATGCATTTTAAGCTGTATCCTATCCTCATCGCTACAATATTAGGTCATGTGAATTAATGAGTGGCGTCCAACTATGAAATCATGAAACTGTTAGTAACAATCATCCTATTATTAATCTATGTTGCACAGTATAAGAACAGGGAAGAGTGATTCTACACCAAATCAACCAATCATAAAAACTTCAGGTCTTTGTATTAAGTTTATTTTTGGGCCACAGGTAGAACTCTTAGAATAGATGAAAAATACCAAGTTTCTGATTTTTTGAACCATTAGTTAATGAGTTATGCATTTTTGAATTTTTAAAATTTTGCGAATTTTTTGTAGCTTTTAAATAGCTATAACTGGAGAACTATTTGACATAGTTGACTAAATTATGTGTAATTTTGTTCAGTCCTTTATGGCATTTTATACAATTCATAATACGGCTAAGTTATAAAAAATATTCAAATAAATAAATAAAATGTGTCCATTTTTCTGAAAACAATACATTTTATATTTTTATTTACTTTATTTTTTTAGCAATGTGTATGTCAAATTTTAAGATGGCATTATGATGGGATCTACCAGAAATTTTTTTTTTCTTGTTAAACATTGACATAAATCATGTATAGTAACATGAATATGCCACTTTTCCACCAAAATGATGCATGATTTGACACTGTTAAAATGAGAAATATTTGTTTTAAGGATCCCATAAGAATACTATCTTGAAATTTGGCACACACATTGTTAAATGAAAAAATTATTTCAAGAAAAATTAAAAGTGTAGATTTTCTTTTATAAATATGTTTTATATTCCATAAAATGCCATTAAAAACTTAAAAAGACACAAAATTTAGCTCTAGAGGTCAATTAGTCCTCAAGTTATAGCTGTTTAAATATTTTAAAACTGTAAATCTTCAAAATTGCATACTTTGGAAACAAATTATTAAAAAAATCTGAAACTTGCTATTTTTCATGTCAGAAGCAGATTTATTAAACATGTCAAAAATAATTGAAATTTGACTTGTTGAGCTAAAACAATTTTTTTTTTTTTATAGGTTGATTGGAGAATTACCTAGAAAGAGAAGAGTGCATTGAACATCCTTCCTTCCGTTACATCAAATCAGAACTGAATGCTTTGTAAAGTATACAGGGATGAGAGTAGTTGGAAAGTAAAAAAGAGGAAATTCAAGAATGAGTATATATATATGTATATATATATAAAATGTATATATATATGTATATATAAAAATAATAAATAATAAATGTGGAAAAATAATAAATATTGTTTTTCTATAAATATTTTTTTAGTGAGGCTCTTTTATT